TGTTCGTGTACGTAGGCCTGCGGATTTTTTATAATGTAATTTATACGGCAAGTTCACATGTAAAGACGCACTTGTGTTTTTTTTTGTTATAATTATAATTATTACATTGCACTTTAATAAGTTTAGAGAAAAGTTTTATTTTTTTTTTTTGGCTCAAAAATAGTTACAAAAAAATTGTTATAAGGCTAAATGGCATAGGGTTTTATTATTTGAATATTTTTTCAGGGCAGCGTGTGTCTTATACCAGCTTTGGGCTGGGAGAGCTTTTACACTTGTACATCCAATCAGAGAACGTTTATAAAGCTCTTAAGGCGTCACTTAAGGATCGTTGAATATTGATTATCAATTTTTTTTTGCTTTGTTAATGATTTTTAAATATTTCTTTTTTATTATTTTTTTATTATTCATTATATTTTTTGTTTCTGGGTCGTTCCATGTAAAAAAGGAGAACGACATAAGTTTTACATGGCCTTAACCCGTTGAAAAATATTAAAAAAGAATAAAAAGAAAATGTAATTTTTGTCTATTTATTTCATGCAACAATGCTTTATATCAGTCATATCAGTCAGTTATACCTGTCCTACCAGTCACAATTTTAAATACATATACCAAATTTTTTATGGCAACCAAAGCGTATAGCATATATCTTGCAACACAAAAAAATCTGGCTTCAAAATTTAGTGTTTTGCCTAAACTTGTCTTTGAATACACAAAGGTAAAATACAAGGATTTCTATTATCTCACTTAGAACTTGGAAATTGTTTGGTTTTTTTTTAAGAATTTCATACATTAGTTATTTTTCTCTGTAAAAAATATAACAATTGATCAAATTCTTGAATCAAATGTCCCACCAGTAACAATGAAAATCATATTTTTTGTTATTTATTTTGTTAAATTTTTATTTTACTTTTTTTCGTATTGTCGTTTTTGTGTTGGTGTTGGTTGATTTTTCCGACAGGGTGGTAAGATGATTTATTCTGGAACGAATTTCCGTCATCCCTTGTCAAGCTTGGTTTGCAGACGAAAAATTACACTGAAGATGACACAACGCCGAAACCGGTTTGTCTGCAAACCAAGCGTGACAAGGGATGACAGAAATTCGTTCCAAAATAAATCATTATTTTTTTGTTTTATTTGTTGTTATTCTTTTTTTTTATTTTGTTAGTATTTTTAATTTAACTTGTTTTTAGTTTAATTTTCCAATTAATTTTTTATTTTTTTATTTTATTTTATTTGAAATTTTTATATTTCAAGTTTACAATTTTTATTGTTTTTCATTTTAGTTTTTTCTTTTTAATTTTAGATTTTTATTTTGTTTTATTTACCTAATATTAATCATACTTCATTAGTTTTTTCTTTTTAATTTTAGATTTTTATTTTGTTTTATTTACCTAATATTAATCATACTTCATTCTCCCTTGTCAGCTTCTGACATTTTATTTATTATTTTTTATTGCACCGTTTTGAAAATTCGTTCCAAAATAAATCATTATTTTTTTGTTTTATTTGTTGTTATTCTTTTTTTTTCTTAGTATTTTTAATTTAACTTGTTTTTAATTTAATTTTCCAATTAATTTTTTATTTTATTTTATTTGAAATTTTTATATTTCAAGTTTACAATTTTTATTGTTTTTCATTTTAGTTTTTTCTTTTTAATTTATATCTTTGTTTTGTTTTATTTACCTAATATTAATCATACTTCATTCTCCCTTGTCAGCTGCTGACATTTTATTTATTTTTTTTTATTGCACCGTTTTGAAAATTATTCTTTTCTATTTTTTTTATATTTATGATTTTTATTTTTTCCGCACTTAAGATTATTTTTTGTTTTATTTTTTCTTGTTCTATTTGTCTTTTTCTATTCAATTTGTTATTTTTATTTTTATTTCCCAATTATTTTGGATTTCCTTCATTTTATTTTACTTGAGTTTTGTTTATTTTTTATATTCTAAGTTTATAATTTTTTTCGTTCTCCATTTTAGTTTTTTCTTTTTAATTAAAATTCTTTTTAATTTTATATATTATATATATTTTTATTTGGTTTTATTTACCTAACAATTTTTATTTTTTTTTTATTTTTTACCATTTTGCAAATTACACTTTCCTATTTTTTTATTTTGTTTATGTTTGTTTTTATCATATTGTTGTATACTTTTTCGATTTTGCTTTATTTAATTTTTTTTATATGGTTTGCTCTTAAGTTTATTTTGTTACTTTTAATTTAATTTTGAATTTAATTTTTTTTGTTTTATTTATATTGGTTTTCCTTTATTTTATTTTATTTGAGTTTATTTTACCCGACGTCTCCACCTTCTACTAAATGTGTCTTAACATCTGTCAAATTTCTTTTTTAACTTAGCCCCGTTTTAGTATACATAGTTCAATAGTGGAAATTTGCGGTCTACGAAGTACGCCTTTTTAAATTATCGTTTGCTTTTATCCACTATTTTCATTTTTTGTTATGCCAACACAATCAAGCGCAGCTATTCCGCTGCAATTCACTTGATCGTGTGGTTGTTGGTATTGTTGGTTTTTGCTAATAATTCTATTTTTAGAATGTTTAACTTTTTAGGTGTGTTCGTCCTTAAGTTATTTGTTTTTGTTATTTATTTGGCCTTATAACAATTATATTCAACAATTTTTATTGAGCTCGAGGCCGTTTTTTAAATGAAAATTTATTGTGGAAAAGCAACAATAATTTGAAAAAATTAATAATAAAATAATAAAAAAAATTTTATATGTTAAGTTAATTTTTTAATTTTATATTTTTAGTTTTTTTTATTTGGTTTTATTTACCTAGTAATTTTTTGTAATAATTTTACTTCATTTTCCTTTGTCAGTTTTTGACATTTTCATTTTTTTTTATATTTTACCGTTTTCCAAATTACTCTTCACTCTTTTATTTTGTTTAATTTTTTGTTTTACTTTTATCATATTGTTGTGTGTTCTTATGTTTTTTTTTTTCTTATTTATTATTTTTTTGTTTTGTTTTTTCGTTCATGTGTATGGTTTTTTTTTATTTACTTTATTTTTAGTTTTATTTCCGATCTGATTATTTTGAGTTTAGTTTTTTTTCGTGATCATTAATTTTATTTGATTTTAGTTTAGTTTATTTTCTTTTATTCTATAGCTTTTTCTTTTTAATTTGATATGGATATATTTTATTATTAGCCTAATATTTTTATTTTTTTTATAGTTTCATTCTATTTTCTTTGTCAGTTTATCTTATTTTAATTTTTTTTATTTTCATTTTTTTATTTTTTTTTACAATAATTTCTTATTTTTTCGATATACTTTTATTTATATATCTATATTTAGTTTTATTTTTAATTTCTATTCACTATTTTCTTTTTATTGATTTTGTGTTATTTTACTGCATTTTAATTTTTACCCTTTTCTATTTTGTTTTTTTACCTTTTTATTTATTTATTAAATTACTTTATTTAATTTAAACATAGTTGATTTTTGATTTGATATTTATCTCTATTCCATTTATTTCTTCAATCTACATTTAATTTTTCATTATTTCTATGTTTAAAGTTTTTATGATGATTTTTTTCTATACACATACATATATGTATATATATATATATATATATATATATGTATATATATATATATATATGAAATACATACAAATGTATTTACATATATTTTTATGTTTTTAATTTTCTTGTTTATTTCAATTAATTTTTTTATTTTTTTGTAATCTCTCTAGAACAAGCGCTTAGCAAAAGCTGAAACGCCGAAACATTTTTTTTTATTTCCTTTACATTTCGCTCTCTTTATAATCTACTTGTAAAAGTAGTACTATATTATAGCACATATACATACATATGTATATGCATTTTCCATCTCTTAATCGTTTTCATTGCTTCTTTTTGTGGCTAACACTTGTTCTTCATAATTCATTGATAAGGTGGCGTATGTGTGTATATATGTTCATATGAATGTACATATATAGAATGATTTGCATATATACATATGTGTGTATGAATGTATGTATATCGATCAGTTGACTCTCTCATTCATATCATTCTCTCATTGAATTTATATGAGGCTTTGACTTTTTTACAGACAAAAAACCGCTGTCAGTGGACATTTGTGGGGCTGGGATAGTTTTTTTTTT